TATGGTACATGAGAGTTAGGGGAGAAAATATGGGATTCTTCTCCTGTCTGGGAAAAAAAAAGAAGGCAAAAATCTTTGACCTGCAGAATTAACTAAGGCCAACAGCAGTGCTAAGCGTACAATTATTTCTAGCATTTGTAAATTCCTCCTTGTGAGGACAGGCTTGATCCTTTATTCGAGGGCAGAATGAGTCTATGGATGAGAATGTCATTTTCTCATCTTAGAAAATTAGAATTTGAGAATTAATCAAATTACCTTAATTATGTACTGTTCCCAAATTTCAATGAGGGGCGTCTGGTAACAACATTTTGGGTTGCTAAACGTAAGGACAGCAATTCGAAATCAGCAGCTGCTCCCCAGGAGCAAGTTGGTAGTTCGAGACCTCCAGCTGCTCTAAGGGAGAACGATGGGACCTTCTACTCCATCTAGGAAACACGCCCGGGCAGTCAGAATCAATCTGATGGCAGTGAGTTCGTGTTTGGAGTTTAACTTCACTAAACAATTGGTTTGTTCATTTGCAATTAAATCCATTCATTGAACACTAACCTGTGAACTGATCACTGTGCTAGATTTAGAGAAAGTTGAAGTAGTGAGTAAAGTCAATTCTACATTCACACTTCTGTAGATAATGAAGATTCACTGAAGTTTTTTTTACCATTGCTGAGTAGTGAATTAGGTTTTAGAATAACAATTATTCACAAGGTCAGGTCAGTTTGATATGGGGCACTTTGAAAGATTTGTTAGCGGTCAATCCACCCATTAATGTTTTTTTCTCTTGTCTGAATAAGAAGCTAAGTTTACTGAATATAGAAGAGGTTATACAAAATTGTTCAAATATATTAATGTATTTTCCTTATAAAAAGTTTAGTGACATGCATACCATTTGGTGACAATTTGAATTATGAACATATATAATAATGTGTATATAATATTTACAGATCTTGTTTCAGGAGCAAAATATTAAACAAAGCAAATATCCCAAAACTATAGACAAAAATCAAATAACGAGAAAAAAAGATAAAAACCTCACTGCCATTGAGTCCTTTCGGACTCATAAGCAACCGCTTAGGACAGGGCAGAAGTGGCCCTGTGGGTTTCTGAGACTCTAACTGAACTGTGGGAGTAGAAAGCCACTCTGTCACCAAACCAAAAACTAAGCGAACAGGTAACTATTTACGTTACTGCCACGAGGTGGCGCCATAGTGGTAACTGTGGCCTAGAGTGTAACTATTCTTCCAAACCTTCTTCTGGTATTTAAATAAATATGTATTATTCTAATCATAGTCATAGTTTGATGTTTTTTTATATATATGAAAATTATTTGATATTTGCTATTGCTATATTCGATTTACCAAATGTGTTGAGATTGTGCCTCCTGCTTTAACCCCTAATAGTCTAAAACTCAAACTACTATTTCAACAAAGTGCTGAAAAGCAAGGCTGTTACTTTGAGGACTAAAGTACTTCAGGGCCACGCTCCAGTATTTTCAGTAGCCTCGTGTGTCTGTGCAAGTTAAGCACTGACTTAGGATGGCCACAGAAGAATCCAGGCATTGGAATTACGTTGCTGGTGAAGAATATTCATGGTATCGTGAACTGCCAAAGGAAGCAACAAATCTGTCTTGGAAGAAGTACAGCCAGAATGCTCCGTAGAGGCCAGAATGCTCCGTAGAGGCCAGAATGCTCTGTAGAGGCCAGAATGCTCCGTAGAGGCCAGAATGGTGATAGCATACTTTGGACATGTCAGTAGAGACCAGCCCTGGAGAAGGACATCAGGCTTGGTCATGTAGAGTGACAGCCAGAGGTAGGCCGCTACAGGATGTGTTGGCACAGTGACTGCAACAATGGGTTCCCACAGAAGAATTATCATGAGGACCGCTCAGGACCCAGCAGTGTGTGTTCTCCGATCTGCAGGCTCACTCTGAGTCAGATCTTCCTCCTCGCAGCCACACCGAACCTTAACAGCGATATTCTTTCATGGGAACATGTAATTTATCGAACATGTCCCATGTTAATGATCATTTAGGTCTCTTTTAAATTTTCACTAATTAAATTATATCATTAAAAACATCATTGGACAATTATTTGGTTTGGGGTCCATGGACAAGTATGCAGTATAAATTATATTAGGATAAATAGATAGTTTAAAATATATATATAGTTCAAAGAAAATGTTCTAACAAGTCTAGTCAGACTATGGTAACAATTTAGGCCTAATGTTCACTTGCCCTTATATCTCCATGACTGAATCTTTTCTATCTTCTTAAATATTGCCACTGGAATAGAAATATATTATTTTACTATTTCTTAATTGGCAGTGAGGTTAAATATTGAAATTTTACTGAACATCTGTAGACTTTAGCTCAGTAATTTGCTCGTGTTTTTGTCAGTTATTTTTTAAGGTAAGGATATATTTCCCTTGTAGTGCTCTTCCCATTACTGGATTGTTATGTCTGTTGAAAAGCTTTTTGGCTAATCTGTCAGTTATTCTTGAGTTTTAAGAAGGATGCATTTAATTGCACATGGCTCTTAATTTTCAGTTGATATTATTTAAGAATAGGTTTCATTTTTCATTTTATATTGTTTTATTTTGTTTTCAAAGGGCTCTGTGAGATTTTAAAGCCCTATAGGTGTGATACATAGGTTGAAACAACCATTCAGGTGATTTTTGGTGATATTTTTCTTACATTTAGTAACTTTATACACAAGGAATGTATCATTTTTATAGCTACTCAGCTGCCACTGTGGCAGAGTGAGTACATATTAGGTTGATAACCACAGGGTCAGCAGTTCAAAGTCATCAACCACTGACAGGAGAAAAGCTCGGTTTTCTACTTCTGTAAAGAGTTACTGTCTCAGAAACTCATAAGGGCAGTTTTAACCTGTCCTATAGGATCACTATGAGTCAGCATCAACTCCAGGGCATTGAGTTCTAGAGGTTTTTTTAGAAGATATAAAACTACCTTTTCACCATTTACTCAGTAGATCATTATCTCCATTATATTCTAAATGCAATGTACCAGTTTCAAATATGATTTGGTATCTAGGTATTCTCTTATCCGACAGTTGAACAAACTCGAAGTACTTTCATACCCATAAATGAAAT